AACAGGTCTCCGTGAAGCGTCTGGTCTGTTTTGGATGAGAACAGAACTGTTAGCAACTGGCTGCTCGGTGCTTATTGCCCGGCTTGGAACTGCCTTGGAAAAATCTCTTCCTTGCTGTTCTAGCTTCAGTTTTGTCTCAGTAGTGCTTGCAGGATGAGGCCCATCAACAGATAGGGGAGAGAAATGTGGGAAGAGATATTGCTATCCCCCCTTCTTCCCCGCTGGTCAAGCATTTTGGAATCCTGATGGTGTTTCAGGAACCCCAAATCAAGCCAGATCCTGCTTCCGAAAGGAGAGGATCACTGTCCTCAGGCTCACGTGGTGCCTGGGATCCATGTCCCACCAGGAAGCTGAGGAGAAGCGTCCCATGTCCAGCACAGCAGAGCGATGCCAGCAGCGGAGCGCGCGCCCGCGGAGGGCGAGAGGCCTCGGAGGGCGAGGAGGTGGGTGCCCTGCCGAATTATGGGAGTTCCCTGACCATTGCAGTTGACTTTAGCACTGCCAAAAGAAATTCAGTCCCTAGGGATCACAAGTGACATCAAGAGAAAGCCCCATGGAGGCCACGCAGGCCTGCGGCCTTGTTGCCCTCCGCTGGTATCCAGGGGCTCCCGGTGGGGCCTGTGCCCCTCAGGGGACATGGACACGCTGTGACTGAGCGGCGCGGCCGCGCTGGGGTCCTTAACAGCCCACGTGTCCTTCCCCCGAAATTGCCCTGGGGTCCGTAACAGCCTCCGTGTCCTCCCCCCAAAGTCGTCCTGCTCGCGTCCCCCGGGGCCCAAGCAGCATCAGCAAGCCCAGCTCCACCTGCAGCCATCTGCACTGTCACGTAGAGCCCCAAACCTCCCAGATTATGAGGGGAAAACAAGGGACAGCAGCAGGGACACGTATCTTCTCTGAATTCACGTGGCCGCGTCCCTTTTTGCCTATCGCCAGGTTGTGGCCTTGGGCGAGAAATAATCTCCAGCTGGACAGTCAACAAGGGAGCCTCGCTGCGCTGGCAAGAGGGTGGCTGGAGAGCAGCACTAGCAACTCCTTCTGTAGATAACTCGGTGCACTTTCAAGATTTATTGCCTTTATCCCCATTTATTGCCAGCCTGAATGTTTCAATTATCTTTTTATGTTTTGGCATTTCCCTAACAAGTAATGTTATTTTGTTGCTTCTGTTGGAGCGGGGACAGAAAGGGCCTTGTTTTCCAAACAGGACGCGCGCACCCTGAACAGGCGGCGGGCGAGCGCGGGGCAGATTTGGTCTGTCTCAGATCTGAAAGGTTATTAGCCGACCTCTGTCTCATCACCTTAGCCCCATAAATCTCATAACGGCTCCATTCTTAGCCCTTTAGAAATGAATCCTGTTTCCTCTGTAAAGGACTCGTGATTTTATTGCTGACCTTACCAATAAATTCCCAATTTTCATTCAGTCCGAGTTGCTTAGAAGTTAACCCGCTCCCTTGCTTGAGTTTCCTGGGGCAAGTCCAGCCTCAGGGTAACTCCACTGATAGTAACAGTTGCATCAGCACCGTCTTTGGCCCATGGTTGCTACTTTTTGAGTCTATTAGTGTCTTAACTCACTGGCATTGGATGTTTGTGTTCAAGCTCTCAGATACCTTCAGGTTTTCCTCTTCGGTGCTATGTAAACTCATAATAAACCATGTTAGCTAATCTCCTGAGGGAGTTCATAATGTCTTATGGAGAATCTAGTAGGATAAAATATCCACCAATTTGTTCTGCTGTACAAAAGGTCCTTCTGATTTAGCCCTTCTGGAGAAAATTCCCACTAGGGGTGGAAGTGTTCAGGAAAAATCATGAGTTTCTTCCTTGCAACCATCACAATGTTTCACATTCTGATAGCTGCAGCTCTGCCTGGCTTGTCTCATGTTTCTGAACTTCAGAAGTTCTCATAAAAATGTCCATCACTCTCCAGCAGCTCCTTGGGTGACCCTGCACTGCCCGTTACCCTCTGAAGCCCCATTGCAGCCCCAGAGGGGTGGCTGGGCAGAAGGTGCTTGCTGCACACGTGGGTTTCCATGGGGCAGGATTAGGGTATGATCCAGGGGGGATTATCAGCGCCCAGGCTCCACACGCCGACCGACAAAACTAGATTATTAAAGGGAAAGAAAAACAGAAACACAAAGCGATGAGAACTCTCCTTAAGTCGCTGCCAAATGCGATCCTTTGGCATTAGCAGATTCATCTAAATAAAGTTCTGGCCTCCGCTTTTTAATCTTCTTCGGGTCCCACCCAGCATTAGCAGCGAGGCTGCCAGGCCACCCCTGTGCCTGGCCAAGGGCGAGCGAGGGCTGGTTGTCCTCCGTGGGGCTGCTGGCCTGGGCTATTCCGTGTACAGCGTGGGTTATTTGGTGTTTGGCATGGAATATTTGGTGTATAGAGCACGTTGTTCGGTGTTGGGCATGGGTTGTTCAGTGTACAGGGCAGGTTATTGGGGTTTGGCATGGGTTATTCAGTGTGCAGGGCAGGTTATTTGGTGTTTGGCATGGGTTATTTGGTGCACTGCCGACGCAGCCAAGCGTCACGCTGCCCCTTACGCTCGACACCATCCTAGGCCAGACGTGTCTGTCCAACTCCCATCCTCGCTCAGAAATCGCAACAACCCGTGGGTGCCAAAATGCTTCTTTTTTTAGCAACAGAAATACGTGTGAAACCTCCGTTCCCAGGAGGGGGGATCTAGGGTTGTGTTTTGGCTGCAGAGATGGAGCGGGTGCCGCGCAGGTACGGCGAGCGCTGTCTGGGCCTCGCCACGGGCTGCTGCTAAACTCATCTTTAATGGAGCGTTTTCAATTATTTCCTATCCACTTGATACACCACCAAAATAGATCCAGTTCTCCCCTGTTTTAGCCTCTGCTAAAACCCTCAGACCACATCTTCTCCTATAACAAAAAGTATGTGGAATTGGCTAAAAAAGAAACATTCCTGTTCTCACAACACTTAAAAAAAATCCACTCCTTTCCTAAAGAAAAAAATAGCATTTCTAAGCCTTTATAAAACTGCTTCTGTCCAGAGAACTCCTGAATCAGATCAGCTTTGTCCCTTAACCATTGCTTTGCCAAGCCCCACTGTAAATTATTAATCATCCCAAAATAGCTGCTGAAAATAGAGGCTAAAGGGAAGGCTTGATAACAGAACGAGCATGACATAATTTATTTTGATCTGGCTGCAAGTCCCGCCTGGAGCCGGCAGCCCAAAGCCCTGATCCTTAAGAATTCGGGGCAGGACAAGGGGCACGATAAAAACCAAGGGGCTGCAAGGAGAGAAGCGAGCACCGGGCAGGGACAAGCGGCAGGATGGGGACAAGGAGCAGGACACATTTATCAGGCTCAATAAATAGCCGTGAAAGGGAGCGGGAGAGGGGGAGAGAGAAATCCTGCAAAGCAGCTGAACTTGCAAATGTTTCTGGCATGAACTCATGAGGGCGAATGCAAAGCGCAACACCCACCCGCGTGTTCGTGTGGCTGCCACCCTCCGAGGACGTCCCAGATATACGTATATGTGCATATTTTATATACATATATATATATGAAAGAAGGGCTTTGCATGGAGGGGTTCCTGGCTGCTAGAGCCGGAGCAGGATGCCCTGTGGGCCACGTTACCTCCTGCCTGGCAGAAGGTGCAGGGATGGATCAGGGCAGATGCTGGAGGAGAGGTGCGGGTTGAGGCATCGCGGGGCCGTGAACCCCAGGATGAGGAGGACAGGGCAGCCTGGGGTGCCACGGGGGGCCTGGGCGCTCCCCGGCCACCCCAACCTGGGGACACCACACGCGGGAGGAGATGCCTGCAGAGAGTGGGGCGTTTTGTTGCGAAAAGGAGGCTTCTTCTGCTGCTTTTTTTTCCCCCCCCAGTTGCTTTTCTTTGCAAGGCTTTGTGGACGTGTGGGCAGAGCTGAGTGGGAGGAATGTGAAGGGAGAAGCCAGCTCGGGGTCACAGCCCGATCCGTGAACATGAACCAAGCGGTGGCTCGTGGCAGGAGGCAGCTCCAGCGCTGGGGACGCGGGCGGGCGGCAGGAGCCAGCTGGGGCCCTGCTGAAGGAAAACGGGAGGGCGGGGCGGGCGTTTGCACCTGCACAGC